CTATAGGTACATCTTTCAATCCAGAAGTTTCAGTTGTCATCTTGAACACAAGGTAAGCCTTATAATGTGTCATTGGAGAAAGCATGCGAGTACTGATCCTCCCACGAATTTCAAACCAACAAACATCAAGAAGCTCAGCAACCTCAGGGAACCTGTTCATAAGCATGAATAAAAGGTTATAATTGGAGAAGGGACTTAAAGCAATCAAGTCGCTACATGCTTCAGTCGAAATCTCATGACAGGGTTTGAGTGTAATTGTGTACAAGCTTGCCTGCAGTCTGCATACATAAGTGTGTGATGGGTGGTTGTGTGTGTGTGACTGTGTGAGAGAGAGAGAAAGAGACCTGGAATCATCACTGGAGATCCACCTCCAATAAACAGGAGTATCAACCCATACAATTCTGAGGTCCCTGGCAGCTAGCATGTAACATTTCTTCCCACTCTTTTTGTCTAGTGAAATGCTCTGTGTCAGGCGGGTAATATGATTAAAGACTCAACTACTGCTGGAAACGAATAGTTTTAGAAAAGAGTACTACAGATCCAAGATATCTACAAATTAAGCAAGGAACCAAAGGATCACATAAACTCATCAGAGGAAAGACATAATCATCATTAATCTTTAGTCATTACATTACCAACAAGAACATAATCCTCTGACAAGCGTAGTCCATGGAAAAGAAACATTAAATACGCAATAAGGTTTGGAAATTACGTAAATCAGCAATAATCTTTTTGTAATTAGCTGCGTTATAGGCATGAATTCAGGACTATCTTCACGAAGAAAAATATAGTTTGTAAAAAAGTGTTAAACGAATTTCCTAGGAAAAATCATTCACAATTGAGAAAAACAGCTTAGAATTAGTTTTGCAATCTTCAATCCCTTCAAATGAGAGTACATGGTTCTTTGAGTTGTAGCAGTGCAACTTTAACAGTAAAGATCACTCTTTTCAAAGCGTAGGCATTAGCAAAGGTCTTTGCAATCATATATTTAGTAAGAAATTCAAATTCTAAACAAAAGCATCTATGTTGTTATTTTTTTTTAAAAAAAGGCTGATCTTTGAGCAATACTAATGTAGCGTGACATCGGGTTGGATCCAACAATCAAAAACTTTATGGGGTTATCTGTCTCTTCATTTTGTTTGTTGGTGAATTTGTCCGTGTCCTATATTTTGGAGGTAAATTTGTCTATTCAGCCTTGATGTAATTAGATGTAATTAGGAAAGCATATGACTCAATTTTTTTTGGAAGTTTTTGCAGGAGATGCTGATTCACTTTGGCTTTCTGAAGTGTTCGAAGATGATAAAGAGTTATGACCCGTATATTTGGAGCTCGGTTTTCATGGTGGCGGAGCTAGGGGGTCCTAAAGTCCTATGCCCCTAAGCTTTTGCAAATAGTTAATTAATTAGGTTCCATATGTTTTTATTTCTATTATTTTATCTTTAAATTGTTAATTTTTATACTATTTTAGCCATTTTTTGTTATTGAAGATTATTATTTGTGATGAAGAGAATGACCATAAAATAGAGATGAAATATTAAAAAAATTTAAGATTAATCTAACAAAAGAAATTGTTCATTATCATTTTTTATAGGATTGAACAAGTAGTTCAACTTGTAAAAAAATCGAGTGAGGAGGAAATTTACATAGATTTAAATTCTCGCCAGTGGGAAGTCCTTCACATTAAGAGATTTAGCCAGTAGACTTAAAAGCCTTCCTCAAATTGTTCATTATCCTTCTTTTACCAAGTTTGTTGATTAATATCCTTTTACAATTTTACTTTCCTTATTTTGTTCATTAA